AAGTAGGTCATTCGTGCACGTAACAGGAGCTTTTCTTTGAGTGTTAGAACTTGGAAAACAAATTTGCGAGGACGTTAGACGAAACTTGTTTGCGGCAGATAAAGAAGCAGCTGAAAAACTGAGGAATAACTCTGTTAAACTTATCATCGCACTCGTAATTGCAAGGAGACAACTACCAAAAGAAATCAGCATGCGCCCTGATACAAAGCAGCTGACCACAGACAGTGGGCGCCTTTAAAGTATTATTTTTCACCGCGAACAAGTCTTGTCTGCAACAAGTCTTATTTTACAAAACAAGTCTTATATTTTCCCAACGAGTGGCATATTTTAGAAAACAAGTCTTATATTTCCGCAACGAGTCTTGTATTTTACAAAACAAGTTTATGATTCCGCAACAAGTCGTATATTTTACAAAACAAGTTTTATATTTTCGCAACAAGTCGTATATTTTCCAAAGTAAGTCTTATATATCCATACACAAGTATTTTTGTCCGCTTCGACGCGCCATATTGTTCATATGGTCCAGCCATGTCAGCCTTGAGTGGAGTCATAAAAGTGATGGTGAATTTTTTCCGAAAAGGCGAAGAAGTCGCAATCGAACGCCACCGTAGCCGGATTCCGGTCCACAAAGATAAACATACAAGAGTATTCGAATTTAAAAAACATCTAACAGAATTTTTGGGATTGAAGGAGCAAGCTCTCCAGTTTGGAATTGGTGGTTTCTCGCTGAAGCTCTTTCGCCTGGAAAAATCGTCCACGGGCAAATGTGAGAACCTTGATATAGTAACAGATGGGCAGTGGCAGCTACAACTGCCAAATTTAATATCTGATGAAGGCAGCAGTGAGCTCAACAGTAAGTCGTAGAACGCTCTTATTAGTCTGAATAGTTTTAAAACATGTCCAGCGGAGTGTGATGGTTACATCACTGTAGTAGTTCTGTAGTTAAGTTGTAAGATTAAATATTTATGTTGTTCCCTACTCGTTCTATTTTTTTCCATTTGCTGTTTTTCGTGAAAAGAAATTTGTGTCTCAGAAACGAGCTAACTAATAAAAAAAATATCCCTTAGAAATAATAATGGTCAGTGAAGTGGTTTAAATGTAAGCTTCCGTCTGTATTTCTGTGTACCGAATAACGCACCTTAACAGCAATAACTGTTTAGCCTGCAAATCGTTGTATTTGACTTGGGTTCTTAAAATACAAAAATTTTGTAGGTTGACAATCTGCTGCTTGTCGCATTTATAATTTAAAGCAAATAATGCCATATTCTATTGATTACTGCGGCTTCAGGTTAACAGTCACGCTAGTGACACCGGGCAGATTGAAGTTGAGAATTTATCAAAATAAAAAATGTGCAGATATAAACAGCTAAAAATAAATCTTTTGGATAACCTGGCGTCAAACTACTCAGTTTTCTCTAGAATTTATGAAAGGAAAATTTCGTAAATCTTACATGTCCAACCACTGTTTGGAATCACCTTCGGTGATGTGTGGTGTGTTATATCGAAATGAGCCATTAACTTTTGCAGCTTCTTGTCTCTGTGGGTTAAGGAATAGATTTAGAGATAACGCTTAGCGTCACCTGAGCCTGCTAAGATCTGCTAACGGGAGTACTTCAAACAGGCCCTATTTCACATTTTAGTGCACATCATCCAAGAAGTTACAAACCGGACCGCTCAACCCGACGTGCTGCTTAAGGCGCCTGATGCAGGTGATACATGAACGAGCAAGGAGAAGTTGATGAACGCTTCCGAAAAGAAAGGCGACTAGTGGGAAGTGAGGAGAAAACGTAAATCACGAGAAGAAGCGAGAGAGGATGAAATTTTGGAAAATAGGAGTACGATTGAAGGAGGTGACATAAAGGAGGATGTGACAAAGGGCGAAAAATACTACCGATTACAGACAAAGATCGAAAATTTTAACCAACTACCAACAAAGCGACTGAATTTTAACCGAAAACCGACACGTGGACCCCCCCATTCAGACCCTCAATCATACGTGAAATCAGGGCCTTGTTAAATTATACGTTTCAATGCCTTTAAAACATCAAGTTTGCTAAAAGCAGGTAATCAAGGCAGATAATTTACACTTTAATCTCAGGGGTTAAGATTTACATAGTCAACCAGATTTGAAAAAAAAAAAAAAAAAGAGAAAAAGGGGACAACTGAACAAATATTGAAAATTGAAACTACTAGGGGATCGTTTCTTATCGGAGACTATACTCTAAGCCATAGATCCCCATAGATTCCTTGGTGGTTCAACTTGTAGAACACGTCAGGCAGACCAGAGGGACTAGAGGAATACGTACCAAGAATAAGTCGGGTTCTAAACCCTGGGCGACCACCTTAGGCAAAATACCGAACACATGCAGTCTCTCCCAACTGTCCTCCGTACTTCGATGGGCATTTATTTTGTTTACTTTTGTTTACAAAGCCTTATTTTGTTTACTTTTACACAAGTGACTGAACAATGACTCGTGATCACCTCTCATATTGACAACACCTGAACAAAATCAATGGACCTTGCAGCACTTATGGGAGAGACTGAAGGATATACTAAAGGCATAGGTTGGAATGTCGATGTGATCATGCGCAGCTAGCCCTCAAGGACATAATTGTTTATTTACATACGTCTCACAGTTCCGACGACTTGAGCAATTTATTCGCCCGTTAAGTAGGCCAGAATTAGCCGGTCTCCTTTAAAGCTCAGTCGACCATGTTGAACAGCAAGGTTGTCCAGCACCAGTACATCTCTCTTCCGCCATGGGAATCCCACAGCATTTTGCCAGCCTGTCGCCCGGATATGCTCAATCACTTCCGGGTCAATCTCAGTTCCGTCGCCATAAAGTGTGTGAGTTGGATACATATGGTTGGGAAGAGACACACCCTCAAACATGGGTGATTCCTTGTAGTAAGTGTTGTGATGAACGTTTGGTTGTGTGAACCAAATTTTGAGGCCTGTGACTGGATGAGTCGACAGTGGTGGGAGCACATACCAATAATACAGGTTCCCAGTGCCTGCCTCCCATTCGTAATTAAACCTTTCCCTTTTCAAGTATTCTTCCACTTTCTATCATTAAGAAAACAACAACAACAAAAAAAACAAACAAACAAAAACAAAAACAAAGACACATTCAGTAGGAAATAACCAGTTATTATTTATAGTCTAAGGGGGGTCCGAAGGATTATAGAGGGAATCACATGACTTTCAGAGGGAACAGAGGGATATCATTCGTCGCATATGAAATATAAAGAGGAGACTATAAAGACTGTCAGTGAGGATAGAATAGTGATGATAGCATACTACAGAGCCTTAAGGGAGCTCGTGTAAATTGTATTGTAATAATTTTTTGGATATATACAAAGTTGAAATGGTAAATTGCCCACCGTAACGATTACAAAAGCTGACGTTTCGAGCGTTAGCCCTTCGTCGGAGGGAATTGAGGAATTGTGGGTTGTGTGTGCTTTAAAGGCAGGAAATGGAGCTACGTTATTGGTGGGAACATGATACCGAGTAAAACACCGCAAGTAAGAACCTAAAAATTAAGAACCTGTTAGCCTAAAATTTGTTCGACTGCCAGTTTGAAAGATGAGCTTTTGTTCAAACCGGCAGTCTAAATCCCACAGGGATCAACGAACGCTTTTCGTTCCACTAATTTATTCGTGTTTTTCTCGTTGCCATGTTCCCACCAATAACGTAGCTCCATTTTCTGCCTTTAAAAGCACACACAACCCACAATTCCTCTATTCACTCCGACGAAGGGCTAACGCTCGTAACGTCAGCTTCGTTACGGTGGCCAATTTACCATTTCAACTTGGTTGATATATCCAAATTATTTCGTTACCCCCACCGACGCAACCCCAAACAGTTTCTTTAGAAACTATCAGCCTTTATTAAATTGTATTGCGACTCAGACCGAGCGCAGCGAGTTCCGTGCCTCATGATCGAGGGCCAAATATTTTCCCCTCCAGCCCGACCGAACTCAGTTAATAAGCCCGTTATCAACCTAAATAGGTCGCGATAGAAGAGCACACGCAGCCACATGAGCACAAAAAATTATGCAATTAAAACTTTTCCTTTGTTTTTCCGAAAAGAAACTCCCAATTCCTTGAAGAACGCGACTCTTTTTTTCTCATATCTGTTTTCTTTTAAGTTTTTGCAACAAAGCAACGTAGGGGCATCTGGGCTTTATCCGGAAAGGCTCACGTCAACCCGTTCGGCCCTGCACACGTCAGCTTTTACTATGGGACTGCGCGAGCGGGACCGGATGGGTCATATGATAATACCCACTTATTGGCTGACAGGGAGGGCGGAACAGGAAAATACTTGGCACGATCGAGGTCATGACGCACGGACCTCGTTATCTAGTCATGTAGTCATGTAATGCTACAATAACCAGGATAAGATCCGATAAAATTAGCCACTGGGCTAGTGTTCATTCTTAACTCTTTACTCTAGAGAAAAACATGGCACATACCTTTGGGTCTTTGGTCATAAACGACTGTTGCCAAGAAGCATAGGGATCATGTTTCTCGTCCGCCAGGTATCGCGTGTAGCGTATTTGTCTTTCTTCCAGAATCCTAACCACCTCCGGATCAAGCTGATCGTATACCTCACCATTTCTGACCAGCGGAGTTATCCCTCCCCATTCTTCGTTGGGCTCAGTAAGACAAAAGAATATAACCTATTAAAAAGAGTATATTTCATTATAAAATTACAACATGAAGGGGAAGGCTAACCTCTCAAAATGTGTTCAATTTTTTTTTTGCCTGAACGTTATGAGTTAATCATTAACAAAGGACTTAAGAGTGGGCGGATCAATGCTAGTATCTGGTCGGCATGAGCAACTGCGGACCTACCCCTAACCCAACATTGACTTGACTGTTGTTGGGTTAGGGCGAGTGTGCAGTTGCTCAGATACTGACATTGATGCGAGTTGTTTATGCCGAGTGTAAGATCTTGTCTTGGAGTCACGTGACGTAATGGTCAAGTGGAAACGTTTGGGACCAATCCCTGGGCCGAAATTATGAATGAATGAATTTCTTATTTATATTGCGCCTTTTCCATATAATTTTCAAAGGCGTAGTACCCCCCATCAATTTGATAGACACTACACAAAGATAGACCACAACACCGGGTACTACGTGCCCTACTCTTTTCGAACAGTGTGTGGGTTCTTTAACGTCCCACAAATTCTTTTATCACATACAAGGGCTTGTGAGACGGGACCTCCATTTATCGTCCCTATCCGAGAAGACTAGAAAGTCTAACCATTTGCAGATATTATTACAAAGGCAGCACTTTCTTCCCAGTTATTTAAAGACCCTGAGTGTTGGTCCGGCCGGATTTGAACTCACGACCTCCCGCACAACACTCCGGCGCTCTACCAATTGGGCTAACCGGGAGGCGGTTATCCTGTTTTGTTATTGGTGCCAAAGCATTCACTGCGTGTTTTTCCATGCAAAGGTATATATATCTTATTAGGCGTTTTGTTGTGTAGTATCGCTGAGTATTTTACGAGTTGTGCTGTATTTTGTCGAGCCCGTAAGGCGAGTCAAAATACAAATAACGAGCAAAAATACTCAGCGATAATACACAACAAAACGTCTAATAAGTTATTATCCAACACGCCAAACTGTTATTTCAGTGTGGGCGAATTTCGCGGATATTTATTTACGGGGAGTGTGTGACAGAAGTATGCGAAGCAGAACGGAATTGGCGAGTTGTCGTGTTGCTGTTTCTATTTTCTTCAATAAATGAAGAAATATCCTGGTCGTCTAGCTGTTTTTATTCGTTCGATTCATCTAATAAACTTGGATGTATATTTGCCAGCCATTCTGACTCTTCGTCGTCCGAAATATGATTCAAATTGTCCACCATTTTTTTTCGTAAGTACAATCCAATTCTTCGCTTGCGCGATGCCAAAAAACCTGTTTAACCGGTACTCTAGAGTACAAATACCGCGTGATATTTGTACTCGTCTATGGCGTTATTTGTGTTCTACGAAGTGTAGTTGGATAATAAGATTGAGTACTTGCGGCTTGTAATTGAAACGCTGTTGGGAAACCTGTAACATATTAGTATCCCGTAATAGGCTCTGGCCACTTGTCTCGCTTGCAGAGAACAGCCATTACTTATCGCCTGGGTGGGAAGCCGGATAATTTCTTTTTTGGAGGGGGAATCGCATGCCAACTAACTGCCAATGAGAGAGGGGGTGATCATATAAATCTTGCAGAGGCTTATGAGCAGAATAGGTGAATTGTATCGTGTCAAAACCAGAATCGTCCAACCCCACCCTCTCCTCCCTCCTTCCCAGGAGATGATTATAAACTATGATCGGTCCCTTAATGATATTTGACACGCCTAAAGTACTCTTTATACGCTTTCTATAAGTAAGGACTGGTATGTTTGTTGACCAGCACAAACTGTTTGTATTGATTTGCGAACTTTAAGTCTAAGTCTGAAGTCTAAGTATCTAAACGTGAGTCGAAACACTTCACCTTCTTGGGATGAACCGGTGAACAAGCCATCTCATTGTGAAGCTCGATATTAAAATCCGGGGGATCACTGGTGGATAAATACACTTCCGTTTCACCTTCTGCCAGGTATCTGTTTCCGGTGCCACCTTCGTAATTCGTTGGTTTGTAGCCGAGGCTAGCTGCAAACTTGGCAAAATCTCCGGCCTCAAACAGGGGCAGATTGCGAAACAAGACAGCGTTGTATTTTGGAAGAACTTTATCGAGTTGTTCGCGGCAAAGCTGACCCCATTTATCAAGGGTTAGGTGATCAACAGATTCGGCGCCTAAAGCAAATGGGAATCCTTCTTTTGCGGATGATAGGAATTCCGGGAGGCCCTTCCCAGCAGATCCAGGCAGGTATCTCCTGCCAGCAATTCGATGTTTAAATCGCAATGCTAAATCCTTGTGGGATAAGGGGGTGAAGAACGACTGATTTTCCGCAACTTTAGGCTTTGAGGAAAAGGACATTGTTAGCTTAATCGCACACAAAATGGATCGTGTTCCCTGGTGGACGGGATTCCTCATGAAAACAGACTTTGAAGTAAACATCTGCAAAATAATTGATTGATATTAAGGACAACTTGGTGGATTGTTGTTCAGATTATGCTAATTTGACTTCTTTGGATCGGAGCTTTATATTTTATGATATTATGTTAATTCACTTCTGTACTTTGCATTCGAAGAGCAGTTTTGTCAGCGCTTAGCACTCGCTTAACTGTCACACCACGTTTACGCCTGGACAGTCCGGCCAATTATAGAAATGTTTGGAGACGAGCAAAGAAAAATGGGACTGGTACGAGAAGTGAAATCTTTCATTAATCCTCAAGCTAAACATTAAAAAATGAAAACAAAACAGTACAAAAATCAAAAACACCTAAAACAAACTGAAATACTCCATCTGGGATACAATATGTAGATCACAATTAAGTTTATTGCAGATGGTTCGATCAAATCTTTCTCCCTATGATTGGCTAAGAGGCGGGAGACACTGTCTCAAAGGTTAAACGTCATAGTTGAGAAGACATTCTGTTACGATAAAATCAAACTATCGGTAGTGATCTTGTGGCAAAGACGCCTGATATCAACTCTAATTTTGGCGAAAGTATTCGATTTGGCGCCCTTGGGATGAATTTGACCGCACTGTCTGATTTCCGGTGTTTGCAGCGGATCACACCTGAGATGAAAAAACCGAAAAATTGCTGCAGTGTAAAGAAGTCAAGTTCATTTCGTTTGAAGAACCAATGACTAAAATATAAACTCGCGTCCTCATCAGCGGTGCCATCCTTATCAGCGTTGTATTTGATAAAAACAAACATAATATTTTCATTTGCCAAGTATTGGCGCAAGTTGTGCCTTTCTATCGTTACTTTATTCAAAAACGTATGCTGAGTCATACTGGGGTATCATTTCACTCTGCTCAGACCCTCCTCCTATTATAGATACTGTGTTCTCATTCAGTAACTGTACCATAGTTCATATTGAATTGGGAGTTTGTCCTTAATGCCTCGTTGTAGGGTTATATGCGCCTCACATTAGTAACGCGTAGAACAATTATCCAAGTATTAATTTCATTGATATTAACTTGATTTTCGCGTCACTAGCTCTCTTGCTATAACCATTTACTCGAAGAGAAACGATTTTATCACCCCGCATAATTTGAGCATTTACTTTCACAGCAGTAGGACATTCCATTCGCTTATTCCAAAGATGCTGACAAAAGCGGACCTTGTTAGAACATAAAATACAAATATTAAACAGAGGAAGCTAAGAGAGGTTTTGCTCGATTCAAAGTTATAAAAACAGTTGATTCACAGAATGTCTTAGCGAGATCGAATTTTCAGCTCTACGTTTGCCAATGACTGCATCAAAGTTTCATTAAACTGTCCGGCCATTCGTTGTGAGCACTGTTGAAACGCTCAGCCCCTCAACACTCGAGTATCAACGTAAGTGAATCGCATGAAATCAGCTTTTGATAAGTTTGTATAATTGTAGTGGTGTCCTTTAAGCGTAAGAGTTGAGAGTGCATGAGACGTAATCTAGTTAACAAACACAAACGCAATTTCAAGTATGGATAAAAGTTTTCCTAATCATCGATGAGAACAAAAGTGGTTGAAAAGAATGCAATTTACATAAAGATTTTCCCACCTTATTCCCCTCAAAAGAGCTGTCAACAATTCGGTAAGATTCAACTTTGAAAAAGTCTTCGCATTGAAGCGATTCGCAGGCCAGTTGATGTCTCGGCTTCTACAACGTATTGATATCTGAGGTGTGCCCTGCTTAAGTACAAATATCTTCACATTATACTTAATGATATTAGACTCAGCGCATTTTTTTTTGATTGGCATAACCGATCGTCAAAATACACTTTTTATGACGATGTTACCCCCCGGAAATGCAGACCATGCTCGGAGAATCGGTTATTTATTTTCCTTTCATCAGTGCAGGCCGCAAATCGCTCTGATCCTTTCTCAGAGCATATCAGAAATGAACGAATATAGGCTTGCTCTAAGCCATTTCCGGCTGGCTTTTTAACACCAATATCAAACCTTCTCTTTGTCACTTATTGAGTTAAATTCAAATGAACTATTTCAGATATAGGCTCAAAGGGTCTTTTATTTTGCTTGCGACCGGAGTTTCCAAAATATTTTGGACGTAATAATGACACTTCTTTCTTCGTGAACACTTAATGAACTCAAAACGATACCTTGGGGAAAACAAATTTGGATTTGGAGTTTTCGACTTCGTTGAAAAGGCACGCAAGAGTTATATTTCTTGAAAAACATTTTCTACAATCTCTCTCATACAGTTCAATTCAATGTAGGTGTTAATGGACTTTTCGTGGTGCGTATGACACAGCAACTGAATTAGTTTCTTTTTCACAGTCGACTGGTAAATATGCTAAATATCATAAAACACCAGTGGCATTTCCGAGGCCAGTAACGACCAACATCTCATATCGCTTACGGCATCCGATCTATATAATTTAGTTTGTTAAAATAGCCAAACTCTTCTCACAAAGATAGAGGAGTACCGCATGTTGCAATCGTGTGCTCCATGTCAAACTCTCCCTGACCGCTAATGGGAAGGTGTGAGATTTTTCGAGATGTTTCTTAAGGTTACTTCCCACCTTCAGAGGCCGAAAATAATCTTTTTTTCTTTTATTGGACTAGATTTAAGTTCGATATTTTACCTAAAGTTTACAAATAGAAAAAATTTAAAATAGTAAAAAGCGTCTGACTTATTTAGGAAAACGTATCTTCAAATAAAATGGAATCCCGATTTCTCGAACCTCCAGGGGAAACGCAAATTGGTTCGAGAAATCGGGGGTGAAATTACAAGTGAAGCAAATCCAAGGTAAACAAGGTTTGGTTCGAGAAATGCAGACCATTTCGGTTCGGGAAACCGAGGGTTCGAAAAATCGGGATTCCACTGTAAAAGTTAATAAATCAGGAGGATGTCATAATGGGCGAACCCCCGGGGGGAATATTCGCACATTGCGCACCTGACAAAATTCACAGAAATCAAAATTAGAGAGGAGTCCCTGGGCAAAGAAAAAGGCACCATTTTGTCAGAAAAAAGTACCGGCCTTTACACAAAACTTAGGTGATCGCCTCGAATAGTATGAAATCCTGAATAAACCTACCCGAGTGAATTCATTTTCAGCGATAAGGGTCTTACTTAAGCTGTCTGTCGATTCCCTGTTTTGCTTTTCAGCAGTTTCTCCAGCTTTACCTTTTTTGCCTCGGGTTTTTTCTTTGCCAGTCTTGCCCATTACTCAACGTTCAACAGAGCGAGATAAAAAACCTGATTGTTACGTGTACTTTTTCCGGGAAAATCTTGATGGATTGTCATTGACGCCAGGAGGTCCCGTCTTTCCATCGGTTCGCGGTTTCAGGAGGCGAGATAATCTCTTGGTGTGGCGCTAGTTTCTTACAAACCTTTGGGTTAGGTGGAAAATGAGGAGTGTGTAAAGTGAGGAGTGCGGATTGTGGAAAGTGCGGAGTGTGAAAAATGAGGAGTGTGGAAAATGGGTAGTGTGGAAAATGCTGAGCGTGGAAAATGAGGAGTGTAGATATAAATTTGTTTTCTTATCAAAAGTTTTCCTACACACCGCCGTCGCGACTGCTTAAGAGCGGCCATCCCGAAATATCGCCCAGAGCGGCCATCCCGAAATATCGCCCAGAGCGGCCATCCCGAAATATCGCCTGGAGGTGTTCAATATGAAAACATCGAAAATCCGTAAACTTTGCCAGAATATAGGTTTAGAAAAAATACTTTGAGTTCCATTACGTTTTTATTTTACGTGAACGACGGCAAAATCGATTTGGTGCTTTCACGTCAGCTTCAAGAGGTCCGGACAACACATTACTTAAACGTCGAAAAATCAACAATGCCCACATAGAAAATACAACAGGCCCTTTGAGGGGGCAAAAAATTGTTCCTAATCTGAGTAAAGTGCTAATTTTGATCCACAGTTGTCGCTTTCGCTGCTCAGGTTACCTCAGATATTTAACAATTATTCCACGAGCGCGCGTTGGATATGAGATGATAGATAGCCAACGAGGCGCGTAGCGCCGAGTTGGCTATAATCATCTCATATCCAACAAGCGCGAGTGGAATAATTGTTTTATTAAAAACGCTCCCAAGAAATGATTATTTTGTAAGAAGAAACTGGATTTTTTAGCTCCCTTTTGATTTTAAGCTAGCGCGTACGCTTACCATATTTGTAGATTATGGTATATTGGCTGATATACCATAATGGCTAAGCCAATAAAAAGTCTTGAATTGTATTATCCAATGATCCAGTTTTTAATAAAAACTTTTAGCCTTTATTTTCGGAACAAAACAAGCCGAACTGGCAAAATCGTCTTGTTCGAAGCGGCCGAGGACGGATACAATTTGAAAGTGGTAAGAAACCATTAAGTCCGATATGTTTGCCGTATTTACACTTTAATTTGAGGAACCACTAGTCCTAGGCCTCGATGGCAAGGGCACGCGTCTTTATCACAAACACTAGCACTCTTTCTTTTTATTATCCAACTGGGCTTCGTAGAGTACAAATAACGCCCAAAACGACTACGAATATCTCGCGGTATTTAGAGTATGAATTCGGCGCACTTATTTCAAATGATATAAAATGTCCAGTCATTACCTAAAAATTCTACAAAACTTCGTATGTCGTTTCATAAGTTTAATCATCTTTTTATCCTCTCTGTCTTTGTCCAAAACTGATGGGTTCAGTAAGGGATCTAGTCTTTCACGACAATTACTTTTCTTTTGAAGATTTCTAAGGCATCCCTTTGTTTGAAAACAAGCAGTCTTCTCTCCCAGAAAGGACAGAAGACTCCGTTTAAAGAGAGGAAAACGGTGCATCCGCTGACAACAAACATGTTGGTCTTTTTTCTTTCTCTTTTTTCTCGTCAAGTTGAAGGATGCGCGAGTACTTTTCTGCGCCATTGTAACCATTGTAGGTAGAGGAAAGACACTTCTCGACAAGGCAAATACTGAAAAATTCCAGGAAGAATCCGCTTCTGAAATTTCAGAGCAAAGTGTTTCGACGTTACCGCAGAGATGGGCAATGCGATCTTCGAGGATGGCTACCCCTTTTAGTGGTAAGCAGAAGGCCTACCTAGAAGAAAAATTTAAAATAGGAGAACAGACTGGATTCCAAGCAGTTCCGGCACAGGTTGGTCAAGATATGGGGCATGCAAAACATGAAGATGGAGCCGCAGATTCACTGTAGATTAATTCCTAGCGCCACACCAAATAAAATCTTATTTCTCAAAAATGGCAGCGAAATTTCGGCAAGGAAGTCACGAAGTTGTAAATGGCCGAGACACTCAAGCCGTTGCAGAACAAGAAGCGTATTACTCCACACGTACCCGTGCTAGATTCTTGAAGAGTGTCAGCTGATCCAGCCGATCCCTTATGATACATACAATCTGTGACCTGTATGCAAGAAATTAGCTAACCAAGCTCAGCGTCCCTATTGTGCTCATAATATGCAGCCACTTTGAAATTAAATTGACAAACTTCCATTGGGGCTCAAAAAGCCGTATGTTAAATTGATTGCAGACCTAGTGAGGTCGTGATCTTGTGCATAACTTTTTTCCTTTTTTGTGTACATTGGGTCTATACGCCGCTCTGAGTCATGGGATATTGCAGGCATTGATAATAATCGACAAGCCCCTTACCCCTACCTCCATCCCTCAGTGTTCGTTCTTTTCACTTGTGTCGTCACTAAAGCAACCTCGGGTAACATGCTAGTAGCCAAAATCGGCAAAAAGTGTCAGCCAAAAGATGTAGACGATTAAACAAATTCCTTTTGCTCGGTAACAGGCGACAAACAACAGCTCCAGCGGGGTAGAATAGGGGCAGATGTAACTTTTAAAACAATTATTAAACAAATATTAACAATAAAAACATTTCAGTATTGAGGTTTCCAACAACATTGTACTAAAAATAAAGGAAGCGTAGCGACTACTTCTCTTTTCCAAAGGTGCCAGTAGTGAACTGTTGTATGCCTGTCACGCAATCCTTACTGATTGAGCATTTCGAGAGCAGCAGGAGGGGGGGGGGAGAGTTAACGACAACGGCTTGTGAAGCGAATAAACAATCCATGTTCCTGCACTAATCAAGATGTTAAAAAATCACAGACCACTGATTAGATAAACTTTAAAAACTTATTTGATGAAGCCCATATCAACAGATTAGTGAATGGAAAAG